TTTACGTCTAGCATAATCAGTTTGTTCAGAGAACGTTAAGTTACTAGAGTATCTGATACCGAGATCTACGACTGAGTTGATCTTGGCTAGTTTACGCCCATTTATTTCAAGATTCAGTTCAAGGTTACTGTTTCCGATACAAATCCAGCCGCATTTATCAATGTTGAACTTTAGACAGGATTCAGTACACCATGTTGCGAGACTACTTATTTCAAGATGCATTTTATTTACCATATCGCTTAATTCATGAGCGTAGCAGGAGTGAACGACTTTGAGGTCGTCAGCATATAGGAATGATTTACCTGATGTGAAGCAGTTGCAAATGCTGTTAATGTATACTGTAAATAAAAGTGGACCTAGGACACTACCTTGCACAACCCCACTTTTGATCTGCCTAGGATGAGACAATACAGATCCAACCTTGGTTATTTGTACCCTATTGCTTAGAAACGATTTTAACCAGCTCAGTAATGGATTGCGAATCCCACATGAATACAGCTTCTGAAAGAGAATACTGTGAGATACCATGTCAAATGCCCTAGATATGTCGAAATAGAGAACAACAACTATCTTACGTGCTTCGCGGCTACTAGTGACGCAGTTGAAAAAGTCGAAGTGGCAAGTAACGCAAGACCTATTTTTGAGAAATCCGTGTTGAGACCTTGTAACAAGATCTTCCTTAAGTAGATAGTCTGACAATTGATTTTGACAACTTTCTCCATGATTCGAGAGACAACTGGGGTTATATTTATGGGTCTGTAATTGCGGACGTTTGCCTTATCACCGGATTTATAGTGTGGAATTATGAAGCTAGTTTTCCACTCATTAGGGTAAGTGCCAGTGTCCATAGATATTGAGAAGAATTTAAGGAGTAGTAGGGGTATATCACACCCACTGTTTTTGAAAGGATAGCCTAGTTTCCGTATGCCTATCTCCATGCGATCGTGAACTGAGCGATCAACCATGGAAACCATCTTCTTTTTCACATAACCTTAACGAAAACGATGAAGGCTTTATGGACCGAACACTCGATGTACCGGTCAGACTGTCATCTAATTTTCATTTAACCTCGGCTGAATCACATCATCATCTCCTTCACTTTGCCTCAGCCCTTACCACTGATCAAAGATCATTTACTCTTTTCCTTATAAACGCTCGTTCTATCTGCAATAAAATTCCGTACCTTCACTCCTTACTTTCACTTTGTATGCCCTCAGTACTGTTAGTTACTGAGACCTGGTTACCATCTGACTTCAATGACAGACTGTTAGAATCACCAGGATACACACACTTTAGACATGGCAGAGAAGAAGGACATGGTGGTGGTTGTCTTATCTTTGTTAGCAACAAATTCCACGCTGTAGAAGTTGATGATTTGGGTTGCTCACTTACAGACGCAGTATGGGTTACACTCAGCACTAACTTAAATACAAGACTTTTATTGGGATGTATATACCGCCCGCCCAATTCTGATACTAACACAACGAACCATTTGTGTGAAATTTTCGAACACGTCTCCTCCCTAAACTTTGACTATAAAATAATAGCTGGCGACTTTAACATGCCTGGTATCCAGTGGAATAGGCTAAATGTTCCTAAATACACTGATCGTTTTATAAATTCGGTTGAACTCCATGGATGGACACAAAATGTGAATCACCCCACACGTAAATCCAACATCTTGGATCTAATCTTCACACACTACATCCTTCCCGTCAGCACTCGAGTTGGGCCTTTATTCCCTGGTAGCGACCACAACACGGTCATTTCCACCTTTAACCTAGCAGCAAATGGGTCAGGCAAAGGCCGTCGTCGGACAGTAAAAGTCAGGGACTTTTCAAAGGCTAAGTGGGAAACAACGCGGTCTTTTATTCGTTGCCAAGACTGGGATACCTTTTTCTCCTCGGTAGACATTGATACTGTCCTTGACAGTTTCTACTCCAACATATCAGTTTGCTTCAACGAATCTATCGCTTGGTATACATCCAAAGGCAACCGTGTAAATCAACTATATATACCGAATGCTACGAGGAACAAGCTAGGAAGACTCCGTAAAACCTATAATAAATCTATGGACTTCTCCTCGCTCATTAGCATCCTAAAGGTATATGATAAAATCAGATCAGGTAATGCCAGTAAAATTTACAAAGAAGAACTTGTCGCCCTTAAAAGTAGTTGCGAAATTAGCTCTCTATGTAAACTCTTCCAAAAAAAGACTGCAACAAAATCAAGGCTTCATTCCTTACATTTGTCATAATAATGTTGCTGTTAAGGATGATCCAGGCATAGCTGAAATCTTTAACAAGCACTTTTCTGACTCATACACGCACGATATTTCCGCATGCATCGAATTTGACTCTGTAACAGAAAAAACACTGTCAAATATATGCTTGACTGTTGATGTTATAAAAAGTGCAATCAGTTCATTGAAATTCTCCAATACTCCTGGACCTGACTCTATTCCCTCATCCTTCCTAAAAAATGGTGGCTCTGATCTCCCTCTCCTTTTGCTTAAGATATTCTCAACGTCCCTTGTGAATGGAGTTTATCCTTCCAAATGGAACCAGACATATATTATTCCTAGATTTAAATCCGGCTCAAAATATAATGTAAAGAATTGCAGGCCGATCAATATAACGTCTGTCTTGTCAAGGATACTTGAGAAGATAATCAGTTCCAAAATCACTGACTTCTTATTGACTGAAAACCTCATAACACCTTCTCAGCGTGGCTTTATAAAGTCCAGGTCATGTATGACTTGCCACTTAGAACTATTCGATTTTATGACTGGACTTACAGACCAAAAATTCGTTGTGCTCATTATGTATATTGATCTTAAGAATGCCTTCGATAAAGTATGTCATAATTTACTCCTGCAAAAACTTAAGGCTTACGGTATATCTGGCAATCTCTTACAGTGGTGCAATTCAGTTGTGTGTGGTCGGTCCCAGTCTGTTAAGATTAACGACACTTTTTCCAGTACCACTCATATATCAAGTGGCGTGATTCAAGGTAGTGTACTAGGACCTCTCTTCTTTCTAATATACCTAAATGATGTCTGTGATGTTATAAAGCACGGCAGACCTTTCTTATATGCCGACGACTTGAAGATAGTCTATCATAGTACCACCCAAGAAGTGACAAATCTGTCTCATAAAATCCAATCGGATATTGATAATATTGAGCCATGGTGTAAGTCGTGGATGATTCAGATCAATGTGGAGAAGTGTGGACTGTTATGCCCAGCTCGCTTACGTATCACACCACACATAACTATGTACGACAAGCCTATCACTATCTTTCCTTCAGTACTTGACCTCGGGTTTCGTTACTCCGCTGACTTTAAATTCTCTCTCTATGTCACCAACCAAGTTTCCAAAGCCAGAAGATTACTTGGATTTATATTTCATAACTTTCAAACACAAGAATCTAAAATGTTACTTTATAAAACACACTCCTTGAGTACTGTCCATTTATCCTAGACAGCATCTCTGTTAAGGACAAACCAAAGATTGAAAGTGTTCAAAGGAGATTTACAAGTAGAATCCTAGGAACAAGTCTGAAAGTTCCCTACAACTATCGTTGCACAACTCTTAAGATCGAACCCCTTTGGTTCAGGCGCCACCGACTTAACCTCATTCTCCTATTTAAAATCCTCAAAGGAATAGTATACTTCCCCAATAATAACCTTAACTTTACTTCTTCGACGTATGAACTACGCAGCAATGGGTCTTCTCTAAGTCATATTCTTTGTCGAACGAAATCTCGTTCCAACTTCTTTACAGTCAAATATAGGCAAACGTGGAACTTCTTGCCAAGTGAAATCAAAAATAGCTCCACAATACAACGATTCACCTATCTAGCAAATAAATATTTCTCTGAAAACAGTCTTGAAACAGTTTGTCACATACTGAAAATTCGTGATATTGTTTCTTTCCCATTTGAATTACGTACCTAAACAGCTTTGTTCACCCAAAGCATTGACAGAAACGGCCAGTATTATCGGACACATTTAAAATAATCAACGTTGCACTAGTGCTGTTCTCAGTTCCTTCTTTTTTAGTTGATTCAATTATTTGTCTAGCAGGCATCATCACAAAATATGCACAATCCTTTCATACAAACCCAGAGTGGAATACACAGCCTGACATACCACGAAAGCTGCACTGAATTTATATGAACTACCCTCACACCTTATGTCATACCTTTTCAGTCATTCAACTCCATTTAATCCCAGCTGCTGAGTGTCAAATTAATCAAATATTATGGTGAATATCCCTGGCAAAACTGTATTTTGGGCAGTTCAGTGTGGTAGAAGTTCTACCTCAATGTTGAGTTGTAAACAACCTGGATATGGCTGGTACTAAAATCTCCTCTGGTGCCTAGCTAATGTTTTGAGTAAATACCATCTACATCTACGCAAATTCCAGCCCTATGCGGGATCGTCTAAAAAATCAGCTTAACAACACTGTGAGTCTTAAATATTAGCGGATTTTATTTTACGGTTCTGTTATTATAATCTTTTGTAGTAGTATTCTTCTGAACCATCTATTATAATTAACTACTGCCTCTTTTTATGCATATATAAACATAACTGTGTACCTTTATGTATTTTTCTCTTCTCGTACCATTTCATATTGCCCCTTCGTTTCATATGTTTATAACCAAAATCTAGAAGGCAGACTGCAAATCTCTGATTTCCTTACTTTCTTATTGTACATATATATTTTTTAAATGCTGTTAGGGATGATACATACAAAATGGTTGACTGAAAGTAATCGTTCATACCATGAGTTTCGTTGAGTTAGTTAGAAAAGGCAAAAACTGTCTATATGACACTTAGCAATAAAAATTCTTTTTCTAAAAACAAAAGGAGTATTTCGCCAGGGCCTAGCAGATTAAAAGGTGGGAGGGTGGTGACCGGTATTCAGCGGATATGATGGTGGGGACATAAGAGAACCACCCTTATCTGTGGGAATGCGCTCTATTGCTAAGGCTCCTGAGTGTGAATGACTTCAAAAAAAATAATAATAAAATAAAAGCTGCATGTACGACAAAGCTTGTGTATAAACTCTTTGAAAACAAGCTTATGGTACGATTTCTCCACTTCAGGAGGACATCTAACTGTATAAATCAGAATAACAGCATAAATAAGTATCATCATTCTTTTTGCTTTTCTTTCCTTCTACATATTTTATGTAACTCGGCGTTTGGATTTAACTCCTCCAATTTCTATTCCCAGTACCCTATATAGGTGTAGAAATCATTATTCGTTTTGCCCTTATGTTTTTAAAAAAAATTGTTATTCTATATTTTTTGTTGTTGCTTACTACCACAAACTTGAACTAACTGTTAGTATGTCACACTATAAAACTCAATGACTCTAAATTATTAGTAACAAAATAGGGGAATAAACCCTGCGTTTACCGCATATTGTTTGCTTAAATTATTATCATTTGCTGGCTGCTTCTGCACCTCTCTTTCTGTTTTCTTCTTCCTTCTCTTCTCGAAGGTATTGCATTGAAGCACTGCAAATGAACAGTAATGCTGCTTTCTACGTTTTTATTACCTGAGCGTTGTTCAGAATATTGTTGGCACACACAATGAACAACGGAAGAAATTCCATTCTGAGTACTGTTTATCATCGCAAAGTTGGTCCCTTGTATCTGTTAATACCAAAATAATGCTGTACTTACCTAAGTCCAGGCAATACTGAAAGACACTAACCTCCTCGAATTGCAAACGTCACCTTGTAAGGACACGCATTGAAATGAATCAAGCGCTATACAACATTGGACTACGTTCGTGAGTCTTGCAGAAATGAAACGCCACGTGCAAGGTCATTGATGGAGTGAGACGCTCTAAGGTCATTTTCGTCCATGTTTGTCGGCCATGTTGCATTGCAGTTCTGTAGCTGTTCATTTACACATTGGTTTTTCCGTTTATCCAGCAGTTATTCACAACTTATCTTGATGCACATTGTTCACAAATGTTGCGTTCCACTTCATTATTGTTTCCGTTTCTGTTAAAATTATTTATTGCATTTGTTTCGAAAGTTTTTATCACCGGGTCAGTTCATTCATTTCATTGTTATTGTTTCATACGTTGCATTCATGCACGGTTTCAGTGTTTTAATTGTTTTTCAGCTATTAATGAATTAGTACCGTGTAGAAATCTTGGAGATTATGGACGTGAACATGTTTGGGAAGCAGAAGCCATTGTTTCCAGTTTATTTTTGGTTGCCGTTATTGTTGCTGGCTCAATTGGTTACTTAATATGTAGGAATCTGGAAGAAAATGTCTTTAACGTTCACGTTTACAGCAGGCAACAATCTACGAGTGAATCTGGTGAAGAGAGCACGATCAGGGTTGATGTTAGCAAAGTTTTCGAAGATCTAATTAAACCCAGAGAATTTAGAACCTGGTTTGAAGTTTAAAAAGCTTTGGAGCTTTTCGACAAGGTGTCTGTTGTCAGCTAAAAAATCAGATGCATTGTGAGCGAATCAAAATCGAACAAGGATGAGCCACATGTGAAGTATGAATGTGTGGTGTTTGTATGTACTTTTGGAAGCAATAGAAAATCCCTAAATGATTGTTAATGCCTAGTGTACTAGATCCAAACGCACCAACTAGGACTGCCTGTAGTAAACGTGGTGTTAACAAGCATTTTATTTGTTTCAAAACGATTTGAAAAGCGGATAACATACGATGATCTGGTGAGTGTTCGGTAAGAATTTAACTAGCAAGAATAACGTTTTGGATTTTGGTCTACAATCGGTGGTTTTTTCGAAGTTACAACAAGCTGAGAAGCTGATTATTATTCGGGGCAGAAATTGGCTCGTTGCAAATTGCTTGTTACAGTTCAAATAGTGAAATTTCTATTTTTCGGATGCTTGTGATTTCTCCGTGGCTATAAACACGGTTGCCCATGATTTTTAAGAAAACTTTAAATACATTTTCCTTGAACCAATGGTCTTCTGTTTCTTGGCGAGATGTCTGTTGATACGATTAGACGATTAGGTAGCAAAGTAGAATGTTCTGTGACTGTGAATCGTAGTCATTGTGTTTCGGATTTATATCGCGGATCTAACTGCTATAGAGCTTTTTCCTCATGGTGCATTATGATATCTAGAAACCGTAAGCTCGCTGCCTTCAATAAATTCATTTTTACTTTTAAGTGACAGTGAACGGTGAGTCATTTGAGGCGATAGGATAAATACCTCTAAAAGCTTGCGTGAAGAGATTAGGATATGTTTTACCCAGAAAGCTCTCAGGATGTTCGCTTTTATTTAGAAATTCAAAGATAACGTTGAGTTGCTCACTTAGGTAGTAGCAACAGGAGATTACTTTCAGGGGGAACTACTTTAAGGTAGCTTTAGATAATGCGTCATAGAAGTAAGCAGTGTATGTTTATTGCGTCTAAATATATTGAACGTTGTAAAGCTGGTCAAGTCGTAGTCCTCACATATGAGTTAGTTTTTTAAATAATGAATGTGCCGCACTAGCGTCTACCTAGATTTGCATACCTAGCTCATAAACATTATGCATGCGTGTAGTATACATTTAAGGCTAATACGCTGTTTGATGAATTAGTCCGAGATACTTAAAGTCAGACTTGAGCTCTATATCACTGTCATCAATTTTGCAACGGTCATAGGAATTAACAGCCTCATCTAACTTTCTTTTACATCGGAAACTGAAATTGACAGTCTGCCATTTGGAAGGATTTAGTTTAAAAGCATTTTCTGACTCCTGATAGAGAGTTGTTCATCTTAGTACAGTGTAGATGCGAATTAAAAGACTGGAATAGTTAGTCCGCGCACTTGAAATATTTCATTTCGTATGCGTATGCACATTAAGTTCGTCAAACAAAAATACAATTGGTAGTGGACGACAATAATGGAGAAAATGTTGTGATGCAAGACTGCAGCTGCATCTGAAGTATTTCTACTTTGTTTATAGGCGAATCATTTGAGATCGTTAAAGGCTTTAAGTGTGGGTTGAAGAATAAGTAAGGGTAACCTTTCCATAGCTTTTAGAAAAGGAGAGGTAATAGCAATAGGTCTAAATTTAAAGCATGTTCCATTAGGCGACTTAGGTGTAGGTACAATTTTAAAGTCCTTTTAAACGGCTGGCACATTTCTGGAAAAAGATTCAATAAATATGTGACAGGATATCTGCACATTTAATTAAGAATAAGGGTAGGCAAACAATCTGGAACTAAGCTACAAGAAGGGTTCAACGACTAGAGATAATTTAGAACGTCATTTGTATTGAAACCAAGGAAGCAACTCTTATTAACACTTGTGACACCAGAAACCTTGGCATTTGTGGGAGAATGTATGAATGACTTGTTAACCGTACACACATCAAATGAATAGAAAATCCTGGAGGTAATTGGATGCATAAAGGCGTGACTTATTTAATATTTATAAAGTAGATATGCAAACACCGCAGTTGTTGATCATAGAAATGATGGATATCAGATAACATCGAATGATTCAACGGCATATTAGAAATAGATGAAAATTGTTTCTTTGCTCACCGTCAGTTGAATAGTCTATTTGATGATGTCACTGCATATTAACAGATTAGTGAAGTAGCTGTCAAGCCTAAATTATTACATTTACTTGCACTTCATACTTGGCGTTTAACAGTATACAGACTTGCAACTGGCTAGATAAGACGATTTTAGCGTGTCGAACTGTACAGAATTATTATTTAACTTGCTAAATCCTACTTAGTTTTTACAATGTGCTACTGTATAGAAACAGACACGAAATCTTACGAAGGGCTAAAGTAACAGTCTCATAATACTATAGTAAATCTCCATCCCTCTAACTAAGCTTAACATGCATTGATCCGAATTCACTTATTACAAAAGCACATAGTATAGCGACGCAGTGAAAAAGTCTAGAGGAAGTAGAAATCAAGAGTATATTAAACATTTCACTAATTTACAAAATAAAATCCCGATGAAGAGTATTAACGTTAGTTTGACCGAGTGATATTTCCTCTGGTTTCATATTCGACAACCTCCGTATACCTGAAAAAAATAAAGCACATGTAAGGACTAGCACAACATAAAGCTATGAAAGACAATTCTACATATTAGCATACACTATGAATACACTGATTCTGTTAATACTAAGTAATATCTCATGCAAATAAATGTATTTGTAGTTTACAGCTTGTTTTTTCATTGACACTGTAAGCATCAATAGACCTCAGTTGTTTTCCAGTATTAGAGGATTATACGCAAATATCAAAGCAATCTTTGAAACTTCCATACTATTGAGGCGTCATACCCTCTTCAACCTTACTTGCAGATCAACTTCACACCGAATACGTTTACATTAAATGAGGTATTGCAAATGTGTAACTTAGAAATCGATCCATAATCTCAGTAATGTCTAATGAGCATAGCTTTATGAATCCTACAGAAATTATACTCTCACATTAAGGAATCTGTAGCCATCAAATATGAGCTGAACATGCCTCAGCTCTAAACAGCTATGCAGTGTTAGCAGCATAGAGAAACATTGAAAATATTGTAAGATACGCAGAGCTGTTGCGTTGATGAGGATAACAATGACATATAATGCAACCTAGACATTCGGTTGTGACACTGCATATGTACTACTTCATGTTAATGGAAAATTCAGGAAAAATCCATCACCACTATTGGTGATCAAAAACATTGCAGCATTAAGTTTACAGTGCCAGTGAGAATGGCATAACAAACAGTAGATTGATAGTAATAATAATAATATTTTATTTCTGGAACAGAAACCAGCCATTTTTACAGGCATGAACATATGTACACTAATTAGAACTTATAGAATATATATGATCTGTTAATCTAGAAATAGATTGAATACTGGTAAATTTGAGAGAAATATTTAAAAAGAAATGTACAAATAAGGCAATAGGTAATTTTCGAGATATGCTTTCAACTGAATAATTCATGAGATATAGCATCAAATCAAAACTGTAATTGAAAAATACGGTATGTCAATTTCACGTGGGAATTATAAACGATTACGTTAATTGTGGAAAGTAAGTAGCATTTTTGTACAGGTGCTGACGTGAAATATAAGAGATGCGGAATGAACAGTAATTGTAAGTAAATGATTCATAGAGTGTTTGAAAGTCCATGAAACTTCAAATTCACCGGTAAGTACACCATAATTGTGACATTTCCAGTTGTATATGAGACCAACTTTGAACTTGTCAGCAGATTTCATGACAGAGGTGGTTCCGTTATTCACCAGGTGGGCTAGCAATATTCCGAATTAGTTGAGGATAGCGGCACTGTTTCAGTGCCTTCTTTTAAGGCAGTACCTTTGAAAAGAGAAGAAGACACAAGAAAACCGCCAGAGAGGTGCAGAAGTATATAGTAGGTGTCAATAATTCAAAACATATATAAAAAACATGGGGTTCATCATTTTTTTTTGTTTTTTTATTAAAAAACTATTTCCCCCTGAGATTTTCTAGTGATGGAATTCTAGTCTTTCTTGCGAAAAGAAAAAAAGTTTCAGTGATAATTTTACCTACTTATATAGGTTGAATAGGAGTTAAACACAAAAATCAAAGTGCGTGAGCTATGTAGAAGAAAAGCGAGGGCTTAATAATGACTACTGTTTTTCTGAAGTATACATTTAGGTGTCCTCCTGAAGTAGGGGACTCATACCATGTACTTGTATTCGAGGAGTTTGTTATTTAAACTTCAGCTTTAGGCAA